TCTGCTTAAGTTGGAGGGCAGACCTCACCATTTAAGGATTTAAGCTTTCACTGTCCACTGAGTTTTCTGTTATCCCTCTGCTTATCCCTCTCCCCACATCTCAGAAGAAGGAACACATTGCTGTTCTCTGTCTCCATTTCTTTAAATTTAACGTCACTTCTTTTTCCATTAATGTGCAATCTGGACTCAGACAACCCGAGCACTCTCACTTCGGTATTTTACAACTACCTGCCTGGCAATTTATAGATTTCTGTAGTTAAATCCAAACCCGAGGCTCATAACTGAAACATCGAGCTGTACTGGGAGCCAACTACATCTACCTTGAAGGTAATATGTCCAGAAAAGTCTTTTGTCTCCAACAATCTTCGCTGGAGTAGGAAGAACATAATCCACAGGCTGAAGTGAATATGTACATACATTTTTCTGTCACACAGACCTCTTTGTGAGGTCTGTTGTCATCAAAAAATCTCCATGGCCTTTTGCAGAATTCACCTGTGAAATGTCAGTGCTTCGGGATCGAGAGATGTCACAGGATTTTCAGCTCTCTGTGTCATTTAGCTAATGTCTTTCTGTCTTAATCACCTGCTTCCTAAAGGTGGGCACCTAGGGCCCCAAGCACACAGACCCAGCCCAGAATAATGTCCTTTACCCAAGGGCAGGGGCCAGAAGCCTCCAACCGCTTGGTGAGACAGAGGCAGCCAAGGAAGGGCAGGAAGCTCTGCCTGTCTCTGCCTCTCCTCAGCCAGCAGAGCTCCATGCTATGGAAGAAAAGTCACCTGTAACAGCAGCTGAGCCATCCGCTCACGCTTCCTTCAGCCACGGAAACAGCTTTCCCTAAGGAACTACAAAACACACGCTCAGTTTTTCCTCCTACAGCCGGAGTTTCTCCCAGGGACCATTTATTTTCTATCCGAGCGCTGTTATCACCCATGTCGGGGACACTGTACCAGCCACCCAAAGGGTGTGCCCCGATGGCGCGAAATACAGAGCCTCCAGCGAAGGCAAATTGGGGATGTCCCTGGCAGCAGATGGACATGAAGAGACACTGCAGAGAAAACCACGGAGTTTTGCCTTGAATCTTGCAGAGAAAAATGCCGTTAAGGCGGGTTAGCAGCCCACAGAGCAAATACTGCAAGAACACACATGAAGCAGCTTGTGCAAGGGAACAGCCAGAACCAGCTCGGCGCTATCACGAGACATTAAAGCCACACATGTCTGCAGAGCTAACGGGCTGCCATGGGAGGGCTGCGGTCCTGCGCAGGAATCTCTGGAGGAAACCTGGGAGCCCTCCACAAGTGCGGATGAGAGCCACGAAACCTGCCCATTCCTCGGCAGGCAGTAGCGCAGCTTGGCAGGCTGCGGCGCGGGGACCATGTCACAGGAATCCAGCAGCCGGGATCTTCCCTAACGGCACCGGCGGCTGCTGCCCTGCAAGGAGCTGCTCGAGCCCGAGGAGGCTTCTCCCGCAGGTGGCAGAACCGGCAGGTTCCCCTCCAACACCGGCACCGGGCCACGCTGGCCCATGGCCGGACTCAGCTCCTGCATATTAACGGATGCAATCCAGGTTGCGAAGGAGATGCCTTAATTTTGCCAAAAAAAAAAAAAGCCATCAGGCTGGAGCGGCAGCTCTGGGAAGGCCAGATCCCTCCAGAAGGTCATTCCCAGCACTCAGCAGCCCTTCTCCCAGTATCCCGTCCCCGGAGCGCAGAGCCCTTCCCGCCGCTCGCTCCCCGCGCCGCGACATCTTCGCCCGTTCCCCGTGGCCAGCGCCGCTCGGAGCGGCCGCCCGCGGGGGACACGCGCAATGTCACTCACCGCCGCTCGGCCCTCGCTGCAGGCGCCCCGTGCGCGGCCGCGGCTCCCGGCCGCATCCAGCGCCGCTCCGCTCCGCACCGCGCAGCGACGGCTCAGGCGGCGCGGGGCAGCGAGCCCTGCCTCATCCCCCGCCGCGGCCGCCTGAGGGACCCCCGAAAGCGCCGCGGCGGCGGCGCCCGTGGCTGCTCGGCGGGGAGGNNNGCGGGCTGGCCCCGTGGCCAGGGATGCGGGCTGGCCCCGTGGCCAGGGATGCAGCCGCATCCCGCGCGGCCGCCCGCCCCGCGCGCTGCCCCGCTCCCCGCTCCGGCGCCTCCCGTACCGTCTCCCGGGGAGATGGTCTCGATCTCCACCCCCATGACGGCTCCGTTCGGGTCGGGCCGGCTCTGTTGGGTTCGGCTCCGTTGGGGTGGGCTCGGTTCGGCTGCGCTGGGCTGGGCTGGGCTGGCGGCGGCCGGAGCCCGGTGAGCGCCGGCACCGATGCGGCGGCGGGCGGGCGGGAGGCGCCGCCGGGGCCGGGCCGGGCCGGGCCGCGGGGAGGCGGAGGCAGCGCCGCGTTTCCAAGTGAACGGCGGCGGAGCGGGGCGCGCAGCGCTGCGCGGTGCCGAGCGGAGCGGAGCGCGCCCGGGCCCGGCGCCGCCCGCCCCTCACGCGGGCTCCATGGCGGCCCGGGCTGCTGACGTTGGAGGGATGATGATGATGGTGATCATCATCATCATCATTTTATTATTTATTTATTTATACATACGTACCCCCTCCCTCCTCTGCTACGCTATAGGCCCCCACGCTTTATATAAGGTGCGCTGCTACGTGCGCTCGAGCCTCGGCTTTACCTCGCGGCGCCGGCACCTGCGCGCGGCGCGGAACGGGGAGCGCGGAGCCTTCCCGGGAATGCGGCCGGGAGCGGCGGGAAGCGGAACGAGGCGCCCGCGGCCCCGCGGGATGCAGCGCGGCGAGGAAAGCGCCTCTGTCCGCGGCTGCCTTTCCCTCTTGCCCATCTGCGTGCCCCGAGCCGCTGCCTTGCCCACCTTTCCCCTCACCCTTTCCCCTGTTTCGCATTTGTGTGCGACTCCCTGCAGCTTTTTCATTGAGCCTCCTTTGGTCCCCTTGAAGGATCCACATTCCTCATTTTTATCTAGCACTGTGTTCCTTTCAGCCATCCTCCCAGCCCAGTCGCACCCTGCAAAGGCTGCAGCTTCCACCCATCCCATACCTTAGGCTTGGGCTGCAAAGCTCATCCCCAAGCCCTGCTCATCCCTGGCGCGTTTCTGCAGGAGGTGCCAAGGGGGAAGCCAGGCAGAGCGCAGACATTTTTATTGCCACGCTCAGGCTAACGCCACACAGCGCGGGAAGCAGCCCGCTCCTGTAAATCCTGCCGCTTCCAGGAGCAACATTATCAGCAGAGCCGCAGCGCTGCCGAGTTGGAACGATGAAAAATGGGAGTGTAAACCAGAGGCAGCTGCAGGATTTCTCCTGCACACAAACAGGAACCAAGTAGGGCACCAGGAGAGGGAAACGTGCACCTAGGCGGTGACTCAGGGCCCTTGGTCACCCTGGACAAGTTCCCTGGTACATCCAGAGGAGCCACATTATCCTGACGGACACCTAGGATAGGCACAGTCAATGCAGAGGTGAATATATGTTGGTCTATGCAGTTTTTCTGCATTTTTTTTTTCTGAACAAAATTGAGTCATAGCTTATATACTTGCATCTATAGAAGGGAGTTTACTCATATAACATTTATATGTGATATACGCAAACAGCATTACTCTGCTAGCAAACCTTAACTTTTAGATCTTCAATTTGTCCCGTCTTCATAAAAAGGTAACCACCTGAAAAGCACTACAGCTTTATTTTGAATTTTTAGATTTAGTATCTAGCAACATAGCCATGTATTTTGGTGGATTTCTATTATCACACTGCGGTCAATGTTGTAATTCTAATAGTTTTTTGTTTTTCAAATGTAGTTTCTCACAACCGCATAAACCCCCAGCATGGATAGGATCCCAAGGGAATAAAATACAAAGTGTATCTGTGCTACGGAGGCTGGATAGAAGCATGGAAGAACAATAACAAGGTGTACAGGCTTAATCTGCTGTTCCATAAAGAACAAGGGTTACTATAGAAACTGTCACCTTACATGTGACTTCAACAGTACTTCACATGGGGGAAAGAAAATACACCTTCCACATCTCGACCAGCTTTGGTAGAAATCACGTGCTGGGCGATCATCGCTGGTGCTCACAGCACCGCTCTTTTTTGGAGAAATTTAGGGAGCATCACTTCAGCACCACACTTTGCCATTGATTTACGGTACAGTTAAAACCTAATTCTTCTGAAAAATAAATCAGTGAATCTGTATTTTCCTTAGTCTCAACTTGCCCTGTTCCCCGAAATCCTCCATCCAAGCCTTTCGCTGGCACCGAGCACGCTATATGTAGTCACTTCATATAGGAAGTGAAGATAAATAATCTGACACGCAATAACTTCTGCAGATAATTACTCAAGTCAAATTGAGTATATTTGATTACCACAAAAAAACATAATTAAGATCAGTGCTTTAAAACTTGTTCTTTATACATAGTTAGACTGAAAACATATAAATGTATATTAAAAGTGAATAATTTGCATTGCTTTTTTTAAACCTGAAAAGTCTGGAAAAAAATTATTCTATACAATATTCCATAGAAAACACTTCCTGGGATGAATGGGACAGCAAATAGTACCTTGAGAGAACTGTGAGGAGCCCATTGGATTCCATCTCTCCCCTGCATGGAAGGCAGGTCACGGGGTTTTCCCAAATCAGAAGAGGTTTTATTGTACTTGACATGGTGATCAGTAACATCTAATAGGCATTTACAGGAATGTGTGTGTATATATATTTATGTGTGTGTGTATATATACACATATATATATACACATGTATATATAACTTCACACATTTCACTCAACTTTATAGTGCTGTTCATTGACCAAAAGCCAGATCAACACCTCTTGTTGCCTTCTGTTTGGGATCAGAATGGATGCATTTATACATGTTTAGTGTGAAAATAACAGTACTAAAACAGAAACGTGTTCTTAAGTGCAAAATCCCACGGGGATTTTCACAAACATCCCACAGGGATTTTTCTAATCAATTAACATTTATTATACCATGACAACATCCAAATATTTATATGCACACTTACAGGGTTCTTGGTGAACGTACTTCTCCAAATGAAAGAAGGGAAAATTGAGAGGCCACATCTGGTCTGTAATAAAAGTATAATAAAAGACATTTTGTATTTCATTCAATTTTCTACCAAACACTCACTTTTTAACACACAATTGTAGATCTGGGTTAGATATTTATAGATAGGTCTGCGATTCTCTTTGAGCATGAAGAACTGAACAGAACATTTAGAGAAGAATAAAAGAGGCTGTATTTTTATTTTTAACCATTTTTCTCACGTGGAAGAGTTTAAAATAGCATCAAGTGCAGATGACTGGGATCGGATATTTATAACTTTCTGGCATATTGTTGCTTTGCACTGGTGCCTGGGAGATGGTGGGGAGAAAAAGCCATGAATGTGTCTTTCAGCAGGTGGTATGAGTCTGAGCACCTCCCTCAGCTTCATCATTCAGGATGAAAATTCATTTTTCTACCAGAATTTCACTCTTGTGTCTGGGTCCTGCATCATTCATGACTGAGGGCTTGGCTTAAAACCAACTCTTCACTCTTTCCAGCGGATCTCATCCTAGGAATTATTTGGGAATTTGAACCTAAGCTGTGAGTTACAACTAACACAGTCGGCTAATGGGAAGAACTTCTCTAGCTTGTCAAAAGGAAAAGAGAAAACAATCCTAAGGCTAAAAAGGGTTATATTTCCTATACCTTTCTTCATGTTTTTATTATGTACCTACTATAGCTGCAACTTCAGTCATTGGTTGGCTGCTGAATCAGCACTTGCCACTCAAGCCAAGTTTTTCCTCATTTCTCACTATTAAGGGCAAAGGAATGGGGAAAAAATATCAAACTTGAACCCCAGAATAAGAAGGGAGTGGTTTAGTACAGAAAAACATCACAAATGAAAGAAATTTGATTCATTCATTGTGATAAACTGCATTTTTAAACAAAAATATGGACCGAACTGTGAGCAAGAAATGCATGCAACTTGACATCAGTTGTTAAGCACGTTCACAGACAGCAGCTAAATATCTAAATATACTAAATATTATTGAAAATAGCATATGCAGCTAAAGACCAACGTTTTGACACCCGGAAGATCACTTGAGAACAAAATCTGTAGATTTGTTGGGAATTAGATCCAAAAAGATGCAATAAAGTAGGCCAGGAATAATTTAGCAGATTATTTTTCAACAGAAAGTGCTCCTCTTTTGAAACCAGAACTTTTAAACCAAAAGTACCAACTTCAGATCATCTCTTATTTTCTGACAACAGACTATTGCTTATTCTAGAGATGCCCCCTCATCCCCACTACAGCCTTCCTGTTTGAAGGTTTCTGTCTTTGTATAAAAGATTAAATATTCATTGAAGCAGCGACTTGAAAGTAGCTTTCTCCCTCTTGAGGATACAGGTAGGCATTTAGGTTTTGTTGTTTAACTTGGCCTGAACAAACAGTCAAAAGGAGGAAGGTCTTGATTCAGAAAACCCTTTTTGCCATGATGTTCTTGCCAGCTGGTGGCATATTATCCAAGTTGGCCCTTAAAAAAGCTATATATATTTTTAATAAGTACTTGGAGGAGAAAGTATAATGAGATTTGGCCTGTCTTTGCATCCTTTCCACGTGATGGCTGTACTTCATGTGGAAGCCTCAGGATTCAGCTATAGTTTTAGCAGGTGCTATTTGTCCCCTATATTACTTCCAATGTCACCAGAGTGACCGGGAGCCTCCAGGCAGCCCTCACCTGAGAGCATCGGTTACAGGAGCCGCCCCCGTCCTGACCAGCCCTGTGTTCAACTCGGATTTAAGATCTTCTCACTGATGGGAATAGAGGCTAAAGAACAAGCATTCTGGTAGGACCCCAGTCAGAACAGGGTGGAACTTATTGAGTAGGACAAGTCTACCTCAAAAAAAAACTTAATTTCCATGTAAGCAGGGGGATGTGGAAGCAGGCACGAGTGGATGCACCTTTGGGTTGCTCCTCAGCCTCTCCATGCAGCTCCATCAAGCAAGCGAGGGGCTGCTGGTCCCCCCGGGCACATGTCCCACCTAGACCCCCTTCTAAAAAAGCAACACCTACAAGACCATTATTTTTTAACCACTCTTACCACTATTCAGTCATTCGGTGAGTTTTCAGTCTGTGATATCATTCACATAGGCAAACTGATCCAAGTTAGTTTTCAAGATAAAATCCCCTCCGTCCTCTATACCAATGATTAAATGCAGGTACCATGCTCCTATAATCCTCTCATTCTGAGTTTTCTTTTGATAGAAGTATAATCAAATCTGTGGAGGAAACTTTGCCCTTTATTTGCCCTTGGTTCTGATTGCTTGTAATTCAGTTACACTATAAAGAGACTGTTTTCTCCATATTAATTATATATTTTTCGTTAGGAGCAAAATTGACATAATGACTGCTCTTCTTTGAGCATGCATATGTGAGCTTAATTTAACAGTTGCAAAAAAAATCAAAAATAATTGTTACAGAATTGTAAATTTATGTATTATAGCCATCAAATTCTGTGTTTTTGTAAGGTGCTGCCATTTTGTTGCACAAATAGTGTCTTACACTAAACCCCAGAAGTCTAAGACAATCAACAACACAATTCCTTAAATCTCATTTATATTTAATTTTTAAGAGAAATATACTAAAAATATAACTTTCTTAGAAAGAAGAAGGATTTAAAAGAGTTCTCCCAGCACAAAGCCTGAAAATTGACTGCGGGCAGGTGTGTACTGCCCTGCCTTGGTCTTCAGAAGCTGAAACCGCTTTTTACCCCTGCAAAATGTTGCAGGGCTTTTGGGCACCCCATCAATAAGGCAGCAATAAGGAGCAGGCCCCGGCTCCCCAACATGTTGTTCAAACACAACCTTCCCACCACATCCCGCTCCTTTCCCCATGCCACAGTAACCTGCTCAGGAGCAGATCCGTGTGTCCTGCGTCTTGACGAGCCCCTGTGGCAGGGCAGGTTGTTCCAGCGAGGCTGTCTGAACATTCCCGCTCCGCACGTGGTTATCCCGGGAACATTCGTGCAGCTGGGAACACTATGTGCACCCTACGACCTCCCTGTGTCCATGATGGAGATTCCCTCGTTAATGCTTTGGGCTCCTGAGCCCAAATCCAGGGAATTTGGGACTGGACACACGTGAAGTAGGGTTGCACAGCTCCAGAGGACTCAGTATCTCCCAGCTTTAATTTTCTCTCCAGTAACTGATCCGAGGGGTTTGGAACGAGGGCTGCGTGTGTCATTGTTTTCCTTCCTTCATGAATTTTGGCAAAGTCTTCTCTGTAGAGAAAATTAATAAATTTCAAGATGACATTTTCTTCTTTATCCAACAAGGGAAAAAAAAGAAAAAGCCCTCAGGATTTTTCAGGGTCTTTAACACTTTTCCCTCTTTCACTGAATAAGAGAAAGGTACCTTTTCAGAGAAATAAATACTGAGAAATCCCCCCCCCCTTTCTGCCATCAACATGCATTACAATCAGCTGGACCCAGATTAGTTCCAGGTGTGTCCCTGCCTTCTCACACAGAGGGTTACAGTGGATGCTCATAGCAGTATTGATAGATTAAGTCTGAAATTTGGAAAGCTTAAGGGAGATTATTTATACAGGAGATGCAGGAAGCTGCAGCTCTACTAGGCAAAATAAAAGCTCTGCAAAGGATATCACTGTTCATCCTCCGAGATGCAGCAAAAACATCCTGTTTATCCCTGGTAAAATATTATTGGAAGGCAGTCACAGAAATGCTGCTGCAGAGGAGCAAATGCTCCGACTTTCAAGGATGTCAGTGGATGTTTTTTCTGCTCTGTTAGCAAGCTGGGCAAGGCAGAAGGAGGATAAGCAGCGAGCTCCTTCTCATCTCTTGCATTGTGATCTACCTCCTGCTCCAAACGCGCTGGAGAGAAATTCTCACCCAGATTTACAGTATTGTTGTGGTTAATGCGCTCGCTGGGAGCGCAGAGCCTCTCCGCGCCGAGCCCTACCACTAAATCAGCTGCTACAGGGTCTCAAACGATGCTCTTGTGGCTGGTGACTCACGAGTTTCCTCGGGGAGCTGGAAGATTAAATTATATTTTCGATCTAAACGGGTCCTGCCGCTGAGCAAGGCCGATGCAGGAGGGTGCCCTGGGGTGGGTGCCACCGCTCTGCTCCTGATTTGCTCCCTCCCAGGAGCCGATGCCCCGCTTTGCAGCAGCACCAAGCACGTGCTCCTCCTGAAACCAAGCTGTCAAGGGGCTTTGAGGTGAAAACTCACATTTGTAATGCATTTGTGATGTGATTTCATTGCTTTATGTCGTTAGGAAAAGCAAAAAAAAAAAAAGGCCAAACAAAACACTGCTGTTATGTGCCATAAAGGGCTCCTTTGTCTCGTGCAAAATTGGATTTGTTTGTGCGCCCTGGGGCCCAGCGCCGAGAACAGAATAAAGGCAACAGCTCTTTGGGTCTGTTTGAGAAAGGAGGCAGGGAAGGGAGAATGGGAGCAGCCCGAGGCTAAGAGGAGCAGGGGATGAGCACTGAGATCCAGAGCAGCCCAAGGGAAGATTACTAGTTCTCAGAAAAACAGATCAATAATAATTGTAACTATGCAGCTGCAAAGACAACCACTTGCATTTTGAAAACATCTCTCCCCGACACACACACTTCACCGTTCCCAGTAGTCCTGGCACACGCCCAGCAACACATAAATCCCCTTTAGCTTGGAACATTTCAATGGGAAGTCAAGCTCCTCAGGGCGCTGCTGCGTTTGTCCGTGCAGGGCCACGAGAGCCCCCAGCCTCCCTTGGTCCCACTGCTTGGCCAGGGCCCTGCAAGGAGCTGCTTGCAAAGCTGCTCCCGTGGGCGGCAGCAGCTCTCAAACAGCCTCCCCATGCAGCCTCCTCCGTCTTCACCTCCCCAGACTTCTCCCCTTTCCGTTCCCTTGGCAAAACACTGATGATTTCCAGCTGCAATATCCAGTCTCACAGTTAGGTAGCCTCTTTTTTTGATACTAATGGCCATTTCTCTCCACCTTCCTTTCCCTTCACTACGTTGAGTCTTTTGACAAGGTCAAACCTCGGTCTTTGTTTCTATATTTGTATGTATAAGCTCCCTCTAGTAGCAATCATGGCATTTCTGACAGCACCAAAGAACAAGATCCACTAGATGAGAAAGTTCTTGGTACGGAGCCCTGGCCTGAGAAAACAAAATGTATTAAAATGGCAGCAGCCGACGTGTTTGTACCAAATAAGCAGCGGGGAGCTACACGAGGATCCCTGACCACAAAACAAATGCCCCTTGTTGTCATTCCAGAACAAAAGCTGCCCTGCACAACGCTCCGTGCGCTATCTCGCCAGCTTATTGCAGTGGGAAGACACAGTGGCTTGGATGTGTGTTCTGGCCTCAGCACTGCGGTGCAATAGCAGAGGGCAGCACTGACGACGAGACAGAAGGGGCAAATGCAGTGAATGAGGGATGGCCGAGGCGAAGGGGGTCAGTAAATAGGAGCTGGAAGTAGCGGCAAACTCAAGGGCTGCGGAAAGGGCTGGAGGCTCCAGCCCGGCACGGAGAGAAGCGGCGCGAGAGATAAGGATACACAAATACGAAACACAAATGCTCCTGTTAGGTGCAGGGGTCACGGCAATCAGGCGCCTTGAAAGCTCGCCAAGAAGCCTGGAAAAATAAGGAAGTGCAGGAAAGGAAAAATGAAATTAATGATGATGGGTAAAAAGATGTTGGGTAAATGTTTGAAGTGCAAAAGAAGTAACAGAATCCTGTCTGGAAAAGGAAAAATGTATATGTACCAGTGTGAGAAAGGGAGGCAAAGTGTTGTAGCAGTGGTGAAGATAAAAAACTAAAGTAAGTATTGCCTTTTCTGGGCTCAAACCAGAATCTTGACTGCTTTGTGCAAAATAGAGGAAAGGGGATGCTGATGGTGGAGCTCTAAACTTCCGTCTGCTCTTAGTTACATTTGCCCTCAGCATGTTGTCTATCTGGAAACAGTGAGATTACTTCATAGGCAGGTGTCTGGACAGGGCTGTGGTCTGAACAGCTCCCCGATCATCTGGCAAAGCAACGGTGCAAAAGTCAGGCCCCGGCGACAGGAATCTCCCCTCCAATCCCCTGCGCGCTCCTTGAAACGGCACCTTCTCCACCTGCAGATTTTGAGGTTTGGGCTCATTCCCACGGCACCCCAGCATTTGTAGGGGTGAACAGGAACTTTGTGAGCAGCCTCGGTACCCCAGGTTCACACAGAAAGGTCGTGCAGCTTTTTGTGAAGGGGGAAAAGGGTTTTATTTTAAAATGTTATGTTTGAAAATGAATCTGTTTTTTCATTATTATCTGAATTTTCACAGCAACTGACCTCCAAATGTCGCACAGGTAGGAAAATCTTTAACAACATTACCCCAGGGCACTTCATTGCATCTGCATTAGCAAAGTGGATCCTGATAAAATAACAAAATACTAAATTATTCAACATCAGTAAAACCTCAGAAACATATATATATACAATAAAATAACCTCCAGATTGGATTAAGAGTCCTGTTTCTCAGCCCAGTTGGCAAGGTGAGGACTATCAAAGACCATCAAAACCCTTTTCCTACTCGCCCTTTATTCGCCAACCGGGGAGATCTGTTTGAAAATACCTTAGTGACTCTTCCCACCGAATGTCCTTATCTCACCATATATGAGTCACTTCCCATGCAGCCCCATTGCTCTTGGCAACCGCAGCATCCGTCTTAGCAACGAGACAGCCGGAGAATTTCGTTCTCCCGTGGACGGCGCGTTCCGCTCTCGCCTTCCCGCGGCGCCTTCGCGCTGAGTCAGGAGCAGGTCACTCGGAGCGGAGCGGGCGCGCGGGCAGAGCGCAGTCCCTCCGCCCTCGACACCACTGCCTTTTCAAAGGGAAACTCACAATTCCAGGCAGCTTCCGGACTGGAATTGCTGCAAAGAAGTGTGTGAGGAAGCTGGTGGCTTCCAAACCCTGGCTTTCCCAGGAGAACCTAGCAGAGAATGATATCAAAGCGTTAGCTCCAAAGGCTCCCGGCCTCTCTTAGGTCACGTTAATGGAAGCCGTACAGAAGACACCTTGCAGCTATTTCTGTCCTGCATTTGCTTCGAAAGAATGTTTGTAGGGAGGAATACTTCGTGCAGGAAGCTGGAAGCGTTAGAGCAGTTGTCACTGTGTGTTACCTGGGCTGGTGCCTTTCCAGGACTGCTGGGAAAGCCTCAGCCTGGAAGATGTCAGTGGTCATTCAATATGACCACAGATAAAAAATGTTGAGAAAATTCCAGGAGTCGGAGAGCAGGGAAGGATCTGAGTTTCCAGGTAAAGCCTGGGGAAGCAGTGCCGGGATGGCACTTGGGAGCAGGCTGGTGTTATAGCAGCTACTGGGTCTCAGTCCCATATCTGGGCAAGGAAACGCTTAGCGGGGTTCTTTGATGCTACTGAAAATGCAAAGTGGAAGCACAAGTAGTAAGTGCAGGTGCTCCTTGACCTGTGCTCCCTTGTGTCTCCTCCTGCAGGGGCTCTAGACATGTTGCAGGCCGACCTGATTCCCTCCCTGGTGTGTAAACTGAAGACTGAGCTGGACGAAATCCAGGAGCTGATCCTAGACACGCTCGCCAACTGCCTCTGTCTGGAGGCTTCAGACGCGCTGGCGAGTGGTGCCGTCACCACCCTGAAGGACAAGCTGGCACATCCCTCCGCGGCCATCAGAAGCAAAGCAGCTTGGGTCCTCTTAGGAATCGGGTAAAGGAAAAGGAAAACTTGTGTATAATGGATAAGCTCAGGAAAATATCTGTCTCGTAACTGGATCAAATTCAGAGTTCACAGCTGCAGGAGGAGGCCCGTGTCCACACGCTCTCCGGGAAGGGAGGATGTGCAGGGGCTGGACACGGGAGAGGCTGCAGGTAAGTTCCCACAGCACAAGAAAGCAGCTGGACGGTCTCTTTGGCACAGGATCCATCCAGAGGGCAAAACCACGGCGCTGGAAGAAGACATCATTCCTGTGCTGGTGAGCCTCTTAGAAGATCCAGAGCCTGAAGTGCAAGCCAAAGCAGCAGGAGCGCTGATGTTTGCCACCGTGACGCCTCAGGGTGAGGGAATGAAGCGGTTCTGCTTTCAGGAATCCTACTCAAGGCACCAGCAACAAAACATGTGCCTTCAGTTTCCAGTAGTGTTAAAACTGTTGACAAAGTGATTAGAGTAGGACGTGTCTTTAGATCTGTCTTCAGCAGCTTCACCCCATACCATGTATGGGCTGCAACATAGTCCCATTTCATTCACTTAGATATAGACTTAATGACAAGCACACTATTTACCTCCATAGTGCTGCTTCAGAAGGGGAAATTTTCAGTTCAGGTCAGGGCTTCACACAGAGCCACATTCCCTGAGCTGCTCATCCTCAGAGGACACGGCTTCCTAGAAACTCCTTCCTCTGCTTAGAGGGAGTCTCCTGCTCACAGCCAGGGAAGAAATTGGTATTAATAATGGCTGTAGTTCGCCCAGGTCAGCTACATGACGCTGAAAACACTAGCTGGTAAATTTTCAGTGTGATGAATGAGTAATTAGACATAAAAGACTCTTAATAACAGCAACGTGTTGCAATCCTCCTCTGCTGCCATCCCTCTGGCTTCAAAGGACGACGATGCAGGAGTGGAGCTAAGTGTTTGAAGTGCGTTTAAAAAGAAGAGACTACAGGATGATCTTAAGGGCATCTAGTCCCCAAAAGATTTATTCTAGCATTTGGTGTTTCATACGTTTGCAGATATTTTTCTGCGAATAACATGGTAATGTGGGAGGCAAATGAAGTTAATGAGGAAAAGGTTTTTTTTCCCCTAAAAGCCAGGCCTGGCAGTTAGCTCTGGCTTCAGTGGAGAAGCGCATCCAGCGCTTTGTGCTCCGCGGTCGGGGTGTTCGGAGCCGTAGCCGGGCAGGGGGTCGAAAGCAGCACCCCGAGTTGTGAGTTGTTTGCTTGTGTGCAGCAAGAACACGCCGCAAAGCCGCTCTCCTTCCGCAGGGAGGTACTCGGCGCTGGGCGCCGACGCGATTCCCCCGCTGCTGAAGCTGCTGGCGGCCGAGGCGAGCGAGGCGCGTCTGAGCGCCACCAAAGCGCTCACCATGCTGGCCGAGCTGCCCGAGGGCCGCCAGATACTGCTGGGGCACCTGGGCGCCTTCGAGCGCCGCCTGAGCGACCCCGCCGAGGCCGTGAGACGAGCGGCCGAAATCGCCATCCGCGTCATCGAGTGGACGCCGTGAAGACGTGGCGCTTCCTAGAGAGCTGTTGCCCTCTGTTGTTGCCTTCTTGTAAGCGTTGCGGTGCTGCGGGAGAGCAGCAGAACCCGGGCTGTCCTTACCCGGATCCCTTCCTCCTGAAGTGTCATTGGTTCACGGTTTCGTAGCTGGGACAGGCCACAGGTAGAATAATGGGAGGGGAAAACGGCTAGGAAATCTAGAATTCAGCACTAGACGTTATTTCTGGTGATATCAAGATCTGCCTGTGATACAAGAAACATCCTTTTTGTTTTCTTCATAATGTTCTCTCCTTTATTATTATCATTATTTCAGCCTATCAAACATTAATCATTATATGAAGCAAGAAAGGTTCCTAATTAACTTCTCCAGCGGTCTTGTCTACGCTAGGAAACCAGCCACCAGCAGTAAGCACTTGCTGTAACTGGGAGAGTTTATATTCCTCTGTACCTTGAATAGTGGCTACTTGAGAGCTCAGTGTGTCTCTTTAATGTCTTTTGGGTGGCAAAGTCTGCAGGTTAGCTCTGGTTTTAATCAGAAAGATTGTAAAATTGTTGTGAGAATGGCCTCACTGCACCAGGCCAAGGACTGCCCCAGCCTAACTCAGGGTGGGAGGGCGCAGGGAAGCTGATCCCAACACCAGTGCCCAGCCCAGGCTGGACCGGGCGACTCCAGAGCTCCCTTCCAGCTTCCACTATTCCGTGATTAATGTCTAAATAGAGAGCTGGGGAGGTAACCCCAGCACAGAGCTGAAAATTCAGTTCTCTGCTTTGGAAAAACATGTTTCATTTTTTATCCTTTTCCTAACCCAACATTCCTTTAAAACTTCATAGAAGTTAGAATAACCTCAATTGTTCAAGTGTTTGAAGATGCCGCCCACCCCACGGGCCGAAGGGCACGAGGCGGCAGCTGGACGTGGCGCCCACAGCGCCGGGGCCAAGCGCTGTCCCCAGCAGGCTGCACATCTGGTCCCTGCASTTGCTGCCCGTGGGCATCACGTCTGGGTGACAGAGGCCTGGGAGAAGGGCTGCAGCAGGAGGATGAATGCCGTCAATTTGTGCTCAGGTGAAACGCGGGGCCCCTGGCTCCGTTCCTTGTGCAGCTGCAGCTCGGGGGAACTCTGTCACTTGTTCAAAGGGGGCGTTTGTGGAGCTGCTTTAGCACCGCACGAAGCCGGCGCTGCTCGCAGCCTGGGTACCTCTGTGCAAAGCGTGACCCTGCGCGTGGCCCTCTGCGTGGGATTGACGTTAAAAGGCTTCTTTTCCCTAACCAGACAAAAGAGAAAATTTTCCCTTCTATAAAAATGTAATTTTAAAGTATGGAGTCATCTGGATTCATTCCCTCTGGGCAGGATCTTGGAAGATCTCTGTCTTTTAAACACACTTTGCATCCTTAAGGCCCTCATATGTCATAAATATTGATGCCTGAGTGCATCCAGTTCAATAGGGAGCCAGCAGCCTAAGAACACGGCAGACACGAGGGAGAGAACAGGCGTTTCACTACAGAAGGGCTGCAAGAACAGGCAGTAACAACAGTCACTTTAGCTCAGTTCCAAACTGATAACTCAGGAAACTTCAAAGCATTAGCAAAATAATTAGCTTGTTTAGATATAGGAGTAAGGCCCTCTAGACTGAACTGCCCTAGGGAGGCGATTTAGCTGATTCAGACCTTTAATGCTACATCCTACTTAGGCATCTACCTAGTCCCCAGTTTAAAGCCAGCACAAATGGCATCCAGGCAGGACTAACGTTAGCAGCCTTCCTGTGTTAGGTGCAACCCTGCGGCTGTGCCCGAACAAACTCGGAGGAGCCCTCGGAGCCGCAGTCAAACTTGCAGCAAACATTTGCACCTGGGCTGCAGCTGGGCCCGCTCTGCAGACCTCAACCAGAACAGGTTGCTAGGGATGAATCCTTCCCTGAAATGAGAGTTAAAATTCCTTTACCTTGGAAAGAGGAACATGACAGTACCTGATTAACCACAAGGGGATTCGATGGCCACTCAGGCTGCCAAGAATTCCTGTGTATTGTTTGTGGGCATCCAAATGGTTTCATCACTTCACCATATTGTCCTCTGTGTAACAAAGCACAACCAGTTCCAGGAGAGGCTTTCTTACCTGTTCGTAATCCACTTGGGTCCCAAAACCTAGGAGCAAATAAAAGGGTAGCCTTCTCCCAGAACTGACAGGTGGCAATGTCTCAAGAGGCTTGATTTTGACCCAGAATTAACTGAAGTCCAAATTAGGTTTGTTTTGTGGACACCAGAAACTTTGAAATAATACAAATACTTTAATACATACAAGTCTTCATAGTCCATTAAATATAATTAACTCCATGGTCTTTAAAATACTCTATCACTGTATTAATTGCAAAAACAATAGTTTGTACTGGTGTATGTAGCATATTGATTTGATCAGTCCTGTGCAGAACATTTCAGTGTACCGCAGGGATTGTACTGGCGATCTGGGATTTTGCCTGAGACGATCCTGTGAGAAGACTGGAAAGCAACTGTGATTAGAGCAGCAGCAGGTGGGAGCTCTGCGGTGCAGCACGTTCAGAGACACTGTCTTAGCTGGCTGTTCCTGCCATTGGGAGCATCCCGCTGCTGAACCCCTCGGGATGACACGTGCTCATACGCAGCTCCCCGTGTCTTCTTTCTAGAGCCAAAATGCTGAATTAGATGGTAAGCAAGTCTGTTGGTTCCCTGTTTTGAAGCATCACATCTGTCTCTTCCTGCGTCTTCGGTTGGTTTCCAATACCCCAGTCAAGCGAAGGTGAGGGCAGTGGTTGAGCCGGGATCCCGGCTGTGCCCATTCTCCTTCAGGAACCCTGAGCTCCTCCTGCCTCGCTTCCCTGTCACACAGCATGAATTGTTCTTCTCAGTGCAGCCTTCAGAAGAAAGATTTGTGGTCTTGCAGAAAAACAGTGTGAAGCCCTTGAATCTTCTTGAAAGAGAAACACAGACCCAGCAAACCGGCGCTTTCAACTTTAACCACGTGCATGGATTGCTGCATAGTACAGTCCATAGGAAGAGGCAATTACATATTCATCTACACCATCCCCACAAAAACCCAGTCCTAGCAACTTTAGATCACTTTGACACACCAAGCCGAAAAGGATTCCACAAATACATATATACACAAATATATATATATACACACACACACACTCTCACACATATACACACGCACCATATATATATTTATTTGTTTATATATATTATATATATACACAGTGTATTGTATGTATGTATATAATGTGTGTATTTTGTATAAATAAGCCTTCCCATTCAAGTATAAATACACATTAAAATATATATAGAGGGGGCACCTTTTGAACTTAATCTTAAAACATAGAAGCTATCATAATTTATCATTTCAGGATTATTGAGACCTGCTTTGCCAAATTTCAAACCCCAATCAATTCAGATGTTTCCTGTTCCACTGAATACTGAGAAAAAAACACAGTGAAATACATCAGAGAAAGTGAGAGTAGGGGGAAAAGCACTAACAAAAAATAGACATCGAGTCAAATACACACATATATACACTTATACTTAGGGTATCCTGTGCCTCAAGGGAAAAAATGGTGATTTTTTATCTGGAATCCATACAACAGCCCCTCAGTTATTGTTTTGTTGATGTTATTGAATTATTGTAAGGAAAATTAAATCTGGATGTTCAGAAAAGTAGTGAAAAACTAAATGCCCATCATCACCCCTTTAAGATCCATATGGCTCATGCAGCCTTCATCTGCACCTCAGACATGAAATGTTTTGTGAGAAGAGAGAACAGTGGATGGCAGCTCTGAACCAGGACTGATCCTGCACTGATCCAGCCTCTGAACAGAACTTCTCTCTCCTGAAATCCCAGTAGCCCTGCTCGTTAGGCTGTTGAAATTATGATCACAAAACCAATGAATGAATCATGCTAATTTTTACAAACTTAAACAATAAAAATATCCAGCATATCTAACTCTGTAAATTTACAATTCATTGTTTTTGCTGAACAATACAGTACAATTTTAGAATTGTAATCAGAGGTTTATGCAAAATAGGCATGGCAAAATACAGCCACAGTCAATAGGATGATGCCATTGATGTTGACAACATTTCTCCAAAGTGGCACCTCTGTAGTGTCAGTGAGTTTCTTCTTCAGCGCCTCCTCTTCCTCTTTGCTCAGTTTGGGTCCTTTTTGCTGATCTAAGCCACAGAACCAGTTGTAGGCTTTCTTCAAGCATCCTGGCTCCTCTGCATTTTCCTCTGTAACTGGATGTAAAAAAAAAACCACACTGGTCATGAAATGTAGACATGGACCATCATGCGAGTGTCAGAAGAGCTCAGCGACTGAGGACAATCCTGTATTAATTATTGCAGCCCTGATTTACGGTCTTAGACACATGTAAATAGTTTAGTGCAAGCGGAAAAATCAGGTGAATAATGCAAATTCACAGCTCACTTGTTAAAATTAAGAAAAAAAAAAAAAGTTGAAGGAGGCCTTTTACAACCCAGAGAATTGATTTGGTGTTTGAGAAGCAGGCCATGCTGCAAAGCTTACCTCCATTTTTCCATACTTCTGATTAAAATCTAAATAGATGATGAGCGTGAGGATTCCTCTGAAATGAAGTTGGCAGCAGAGGCCCGGCAGGGAAAGCAGGAGCTGCTGCCCGCATGGAGGCCTCGCCACTCCCTCCTGTGCTGCCCAGCATCTTGGCTGCTTCAACCCTGACTTCTACCTACCATTTCCAAGTGAATTCTCATTGTATCATCCCGAGTGCAGGAATCACACACAGCTCTGCCAGCCCACGCCACCCTGAGCTGCAGCCTCTCCACTGTTTTAATCCTAGAACCACCCCTCACTCCACAGAGAATGAAATTGTCTTCAACTTCATATCCCACTTGAGATAAGCCTGATAGATTGGTAGAAGGCCCCCCTTCAACTGGTGAGGTTTGAAATTAAGTTACTTGGGGGGATTTTCTCTTTGAATACCAAGCATGATACTGTTTCTTCCTGGGAATGAAAGAAGGATTCCTGTATATATGGATAGCATGTCTAGATACTATAGCAGAAGTTATTCAGCATTCACCTGATTCTTCATCTTTGTCCTCATGTTTCTCCTTCTCATCTGCATCAAGATCAATTCGTTCCTCTTTGCTGTTCCGCAAAGTCCAGCACAGGCGGTAAAGCTGCCAGGAAACAAAGTGAGTTTGTGACCTTACAGTCTTCATACGCAGCGAAGAGCAAGTCTGGACAGCACACAAACACTCAGTATGACCACAGCATCCCAAATGTCTGTTAAGTCAGTAACTAAGATTATTATTAGGAATTAGTAATAATTAGGATTATTGGGGCTCTATGAAGACATGTGGCAGATAAATGAGACTATTTTCTTTGCTCTCTCGGAGGGTCTACAGGATGTTTATAGCTGAAATGCCAGAAGTAACTGTGCTGAACACCAATAGTTTCACTGAATCCCTTTCCCTGAGGAGCAGGAGTGCAAATGATACTCACGTGTACATCAGGGATGGGCTTAGTCATTAGAGAGACGGCCAGGATGATGATCAGGCAAATCCCAAAGAGAATTATTGCAAAGTAAAGGTAATGAATCCCACAAATGATAAATGGGCATTTGGAGGGGTTCACACAGCTGCCAGTTCCATAGGCAAACTCTGTAATCATTCTGGCGAGTCCAATTAGCAGCCCAATGATCAGGCCCCAGAAGGCACCCTGTAGAAAAGGGACAGAAGTTATCAAAATGAGAGATTACGGGCATAGAAATAGTTCTTCCTGAGCTCTGAACAGTTACTGGAGGAAGCAAGAAGGTAATTGCATGTTACACTGGCTTTCACACATTATTTATGGTTTTTAACCCAGATAATTTCAATGGCTCTACTTCCAGCCCAGCATATTAGCACTAAGGAATAGGATGGTGACTCGCAGCTCAGAGAAGGAATAAGGAAAAAACCCTCTCCTGCTTTTATTAATACTTTCCATCTGGATAGTAGTGATAATTCTGATTGTTGGTAATTCTTAATTAACTGCTAATGCATTATTTATATTGACTTAGACATGTAACTAAAGAATTCTATGGATATTTAAGGTAGGACTGAACTATGAGGCTACTGTGTGATACAACCATGCAATACAGCTGTACAATCACCACACACCACCCACAAAGTCAAAATGCCTGTCTGGGCACAAATTCAAATACAAGAAATAGTTTAAATGTGAGGGCAAGAAAATGCTTTACACTGGAACAGGTTGTGCAGAGAGGTTGTGAGTCTCCATCTTTGGAGATATTCCAGATCCAAGGACAGGGCTCTGAGCAACCTGCTCCAGCTGACCCTGCCCTGAGCAGGGGAACTGGACAAACTTCAGAGGTGCCTTCCAGCCTCAACCACTCTGTGGTTCTCTCAAGCCCAATATGACCTTATTCTGCACACCTTATGCAGCACAGAATAACAAATCTTGATTAAAATGTTCTAGTTTTAATGTTGAGTCAAGAATAAAACACTTTTATTTTTCCAGGCCTCGCTTTCCCATTCCTCACAAGGCTTAAGCAAGAAGTTTCTCCTTGCTCACTGCTCAAGAATCAGTGAGCTCAATTTGGGTCTTATGGGCAATGGGAAACACTGCATAGAATAGCAGCAATTTGGTTTAAAAGTTTGTTGGCAGAGGTTATTTTGTGGTCTACATCAACATGGTCAGTGATGTGTTTGTTAGAGCAGTTGTGGAACTGCTGTCCTGAAAGATTACTTGCAAATATTAGGTCCCTGTACATTACCCACTAGCAAAGCTATAGATAACTTAAGTTTCAGAGCCTCCTAGGCAGTTCAGGAGCACAGATTTGCCCACAGAGGATACACAGGATGAATCACTCTTCACCCAACTAGCACAGAACTTTTTCAAACAATTCCTCTCTAAAACCCCAGGCCCCGGGACACGGAAACACAAGGCAAGTAGGAAGCAGCTGTTAATAAAAGACAGCAGAAGAGAAAACTAGCTGTCCCGAGCGTGCAGGGGCGCAGCTCTAGCCTCCTGCAGCTCCCAACTCACCGGCTCATTGACCCGCTTGCAGTAGACAGCGAGCAGGAAGACGGCAGCGATGGGTGGCCCCAGGTAGCTGGTGATCGACTGAATGTAGTCGAAGAGCTGCCCGCTTTGAGCTGACTGCACCACGGGGACCCAGGCGATGCTGATAGCAATCAGAACCAGCATGAATGCCCTGCAAACACAGCCAGATACTCAGTTAGCCACCTGCTTACAAGCATCAGAAGTGAAAGAAGCAGCAACTGCCCAATAATTTAAGTGCTCATTTTGCATTTCGATCAACAAGATCAATAGCAGTGGCCAGTTACTGCTGAACGAACAAACAGACTCCAACTTGGATAGTGTGTGTGTTAAGCATCAGTCAGCTTACAGCTAACTGTGTCACCAAAACAGGCAGGAAGAACTTTTTTTTCCTTTATTCATGTGAGAGATGATTCAGTAGCAGGTGAGCTAGCAGCTTGGCTACTGCATTGATGCAGCAGCACAGCCTAGTGTAAAGGTGGTAGGGATATTTAAAACAGCCCTATCTGACTAGTAGCAGGAAATAAATGTTGAGAGTGAGTCTGGCTCTTTTGTGGATCGCTTTCAGCTTGGGAACAAGGCTGGCACTTACAGCATAGAGTACAGTGAAGAAGGGCTGAGGTGCATGGCCACAGGAGGCCAGTGCTGCGCCGCGAGCTCCCCGCGCACGCGGGCAACCGGCACTCACCTTCCTGCCAACATGAGCTCCCGCTCGGACGCCCGCGGACGAATCAGGGTGTAAAGGTCCATAGTGAACAAGGTACTGGCGCTGTTGAAAATGGACGTCAAGGAGCTCATAAGGGAGGCCAGCATAACTGCCAGCATCAGACCCCGCAGACCTGGCAAAACACAGAGAGACTCCGTATGGGCGCTCGGGAAGAGGCTTCAGCTCCGGCCCCACTGCTTTGCCCGACCCCTGCAGACCCCCAGCCAGGGGTAATTCTAGTGCCCTTCTGGGCTGGTGCCTGCAGAGCGATGCCTGCTGAGCCCTGGAAAACCAGCATTTAGAGCAGGGACAGGGCAACTCCTGAGCTTGGAAGAGAGACCCTCTTGGTGGGAATGCTGCCTAATTAGATGCTGTGAGGAATCAAAAATACCAGGCAGACTTTCCCTAAACAAGTGAAAAATTCCTTTACCTTAGCTGCAGTCCTTGCTGGTTGAATATTTGCAAACCAGTTGCTTTTACAGTTTGAAAATCAGAGTAACTTACTTTTCTAAATGGAATGAGGTAGTCAGCAATATATTAAAGGCGAGTGCTATTGTCTATTGTACACTGTTTATAAAGCTACAGGGAAGTATTAAATACCAGGGAAGAGACATGCTTTGTACAGCATTAACCATAACCGGTTCCCGGGCTCTCTGCTGCAGTTTCCCTTCCTGATACACACACTTGGCTCTGTGCAGAGTGGCACCTTGTTACTGGGCAGGTTCGTGGGGAACACCGTGCGCCTGGGACAGTATCTGCGGTGCTCGCCGCGGGGCTGCAGGTGGGTGTCTGCAGCTCAGGAATCCTGGCACGCTCCGGCTTTCCAAGCCACTGGAAAAGCGGGTTACACTGGACCTTGAAGGAAGGGGCACAACTACCATGTCACCTCCTATCTGCCAAGCAAGAGCTGGCACTGCCAGCACGGAGCTGCCCCTCACCTCCAGCCAGGGCATCTGATGCAGCCTCCCTGTGATAGCAGGCTGTAGGGCAGGGTACCCTCTGGGCCTGAACGAGCCCAGGTTTCTCGAAGCACAAACCAGCACAGAGCTGCGGGGAGGCTTTACAGATTAACCTGCTAAACGACAGGCCAGGCCCCTAGTTCAGCAAGAATTTCTGCATTAGAATCTGTGACTTGGGCTCCCTCTGGCCCCTGTTTTGAGAGCCTGGTGGCCTCACCCTTCCCCAAGCAACAGAACCAACGCAGCGAGTGTCTTACCGTTGGGCATCAGCTCGACCACCATCTTGGGATAGGCAATATTGGTGCAGCCGACCGGGGTGCCACAGTGCTGCTTACAGATGTCAGGCACGACACAGGCCACCACGTCTGAACGGAGGAAACAAGGGCGGGTTAGGCCGGGATGGAGCGCTTGGGGACACAGTGCTCCCCAGGGAGCCACAGGATGGACGAGCCTGAGGGCACCCCAGGCTGCTCGCGGGGAGCGGGTTCTAAGCCTCTCTCCCCTCTTTCTTCTCTAAAAGAATCCTGAAAAGCGCTGTGGGTCACCAAGAAAGGCAAAGAGACTTAGAGGAGGAAAAGGAATCAGACCAGGACTGAACAACAGGGAGAGCACGTTGGAAAATGAGCAGGGATCTCAGCACTAATTCCCCCAGGCTGAACTGGAACTGCTGCCTGCTATCAGACACACCACGGTGCCAGGGAGAGGGACACGGCCCCGGTCACCCTATGCTGTCCCAACACAGCCCCGCTCTGCAGCGTGAGCGGAAACCTGGGATCAAGGCAAGTCTCCGGCTTCCCGCCGAGCAGAAACGGTTCACATGCGTCCAGCACCTAGGTGACAAGGTGACAACCTGACAGGCATTTAGGGAAGCACAGAGAGGGGGGACTGAGAGGCTGGCAGACCAGCAGTGTGGGAGGTACCTGTGTACAAGATCCGGCTGATCATTCCAGGCATCACCATGAGAAACATGGGCAGGAGCTTCAGGTAGCCACACATGATGCAGCCAGCCTTCACGTGGGACATGTTCTTGCCAGAGAGACACCTTTGGACAATAACCTGCCAACAAGACACGGGAGCACGTGTGAGGACAGCGTTCCAGGGACAGCCGGCCCCTTCCAGGCCACGTTTGGGCTGTGTCACAGCACGACAGCCTATTTACCTCCCCTACCACAAGGAAAAGAGAAAAAACTACATGAAAAGCATGAAAATCAAAGCATATACCTAAAACAAGGCCAATTATAAGGGAAACTATCCTTTATCCAGTCTATGTTTACAAGGCAGCACGCTTTTTCAGAAGATATTCTCCAGGCAGATATAGGAAAAAAAAAGAATAAAACATCTACCTGAATGACAGTTTTCCCAAATTTTCTAGATTTTCAAGAAAATTTCCAAATTTCCTAGATTTTTTTCCACCTTACCTGATCTGTGCACCAGTACCACAGAGCAAGGATGCTCAGACCGAAGATAACCCCTGGCCAGGGCAGATCCCCACTGAGGGGATCTCGGAAGATGTGGAAGGAATCTTTCCGGGGAGTGTAGCATTCTGCATCAATTGTCACGTTTCCATAGGAGATGTTGGATGGAATTGCATTCATATACTTGTCCATGAAAGCTTCATACCCTCCTACTTCGGCAAAGGCTGCAAAATCAAAGGAATGAGAAAGTATTTAGCAAAACTACTCTAGCTAGTAGATATCAACATTTTTAGAGGACACCGTAGAGTGTTTTAAAGTGTCTATCTTTTTAGGTCTCTTTGTAGCTCAAAAAAAAAAGTGGCTTAGGCACATATTCTATTTCCAGACTGTGTTAGCCTAGAGAGAACCAAAGGCAGAGTCGCACCAGATTAGGTCAATCAGAAGTTATTTCTGTTGTAACAACAGTGGAATAATTAATTTCAGTGAAAGGTTTAGCTAGAGGAAAACCAAGTACCAAGTAGCTAGAAGGAAAAGGAATTTCTACTTTCCCTTACTTCTTATGGCCCCTACAGTTGACTTCTCTTTCACAGCATGATTTCTATTCTAAAATGTATATGGTTGCATATTGTCCTATATAATAGGGTGCATATCCCTGCTTGAGAAGGGAGGTTGGACTAGATGACCCTAGAGGTCCCTTCCAACCTCAACCATTCTGTGATTCTGCATCATCCTCATCATCCTATTCATAAATATGTGTTTCATAGCTCTTCTCTGACTGGCATTATAATGGCAAACATACAAGCTATAGGACTTACTTAAACTATTGGTATGTTTGGGGTGTTTTAGCATAAGACAGCAGCTAGGGATAGGGGAAAGTCATGACCTGTGACCAACAGCTCTGCACTTTGGATCAGAAAATGTATGCCCTAGCATGGAAATGTCCTTTAATGATGCTCTTCTTGAAACAAGCTCCCCTCTGGACTTCACAAAAGTATCACCAGCAGCTGCAGGTAACTCTGCTTTTATCTGATAAACCATCACAATCCCTATGCTCACATGCTGCCTTACACATTCCCTTGTGCTTTGGACACAGAATGAGCTCAGAGACTAAAGGACTTGGCAATAGGACATTTTTCTTTCATAGCAAAAAGATATATGAAATGAAATCTGTTGGTTGTTGGCTTAAGAAGGCTCCACAGTGAAGAGGCCCTTTCTGTGGGCACTAGGAGATTTGTGGTTGAACATTGCAGTTTAATTTATCTCCTTTACTTACCAAATCCCATGAGAATAAAGGATCCCACTATCATGATAAATGTTTGTAAGGTGTCTGTGTAAATCACAGCTGCCAGGCCACCTAAAGGCAAAGAAAATACAAGACAAATAGGTTAGCCCTTGCATAAACGCCTCTCTTTCCTTTTCTCACCATCTCTCTTTCAAACAAATACCATAATAAATCGCTCCCGGGCTTCCATTTCTCCCCTCTTTCCTCCCCTTTCTGTCTTTTCCGTTTTCTGGCTCCTCTAACTTCTTCAATTGATCAGACTGTTCTGCAAACTCACCTGTGATGGTGTAAAGAGCAGTAATAGCGAGCAGGATAATTATGGCCAGATAAAGATTCAGTCCTATAGCCAACTGTATAAACACAGCTCCAGAGAATATGTCTGCCTGCCAAAGGAAAATGTCACATTAGAGCACATGGAAGCTCCCGCTGGCTGCACAGCGCTGGCTCCCACCTTACAGCGCTGCACAGAAGAATAAAAAGAAATACAAAATGCAAAATAGAGGCCATTAAGATGTCCAGGCTCCTCTCTGTGCCTTGCAGAAACTCACTGCTTTTATTGCAGGAGCTACACCACTTCCCAGAGCACTTGCAGGTTTTTCAGGGGCTCATTTAAGTCAGACTCCGAGAGTCACTTCCTCACCACTAACACGGTGAAAGCTTCATAACAGAACCCGTGAATCCCAGATTACACTTACAGCTGAATCCAGGGATGGATTTGGTGGTATCTCCAAGACACATTACGCTTCCCTTCATTTCATGCTACTCTATATACATGTGATATAGCCAGTTTTCCTCATTCGGGACAAAGGGGGATTAAATTCAAATATCTCATTTTAGCCCTATTTCCAGATTCCTATCAGAAAGCCTGGCCTCATTAGGCCTGACAGGGCAGGTGCCAACACTTCACACATTGCCCTAAGCTTGGGCAGGGCTGGCAGGAGGCAGGGAGCAGGGAGAAGCTGCATGGTCCCAACCACGGGCAAGCGGAGCCTCGGGCTCCCTGGGTGCCCCGGGGCTGGTCCTGGCTGCAGCAGCGCAGGAATAAGGCAAGGCAGCCACGTTAGAAAGCAGCCTGGCCTGGAGGAGGAAACCTTTTTCTCAGCACTGAGTAGCTTATGCCATAGGTCTTTCCTTTACTGCTCCTGGCTTTCATTTAGTCCACATGGCCATAAATATTAATAGTCCTAAAATTTCACCTATAAAGAATTAGATAGTTAATTATTTAGCATCCCTAGCAATAGATCAGTTCCTTGGAACTCTCAACTTCGCTGTTCCTCCCTCCCAATTAGATGATTTCCTTCCAACATTTCCTTGTTTCTCCATTAACACTCTTTTATGGACACAATTAAAAGCTTATCTTATCTCTGAATGGAGCCAATCTTTCCTTCACATTACGAGCTATCTCCCCAAAGGCCACAGAGATCACCCGAGCAACTGGCAGCGCTCGGAGCCTGTGACCACCCGGTGGCATTAAGGGGCCTCGGGCCCTGGCACCTTCTCTTGCTCTTTGCATCACGTGGAAACCTTTGACACCACGCACTTCTAGGTGAAAGCTCTCCTTCCTCCCCTCCTCTTCTCCTGGCAAATCTGTGACCATACATTTACCACAAAAATCATGCACGGTGAATCTAAAGAGGCTACAGAAATACATCTAGAAAATCTGGCTTTAAATTTCTGTTTCTCCAAAAGATTTCAAGTCTCTTGTCATAAGGCAGTCAATCGGTCATCACTAAGATTTTATTTGCACTAGACCACTTCTTTTTGGGCACATTTCCAAGTGCAGCAGTGTTGGTTGTTAGAAAGTCCCTGAGCTCTCATCACCGTGGGCCATGTCCAGGCACTCACGCAACAGAAATTGTCTGGATTAAGGATCACATCTATCCCCATCCCAAAGACCCTAGTGGGATGGCTCTGTCTGGGAAATGATGGGTTAGCCCCCAAGAAAGGCAAGAAAACAACAAAAACGCACAGAAAACATGCAGGGAAAGACAGAAAGGGCAACAGTCACGTACAGAGGTTTGCAAAGGGGTCACCTCAAGATGCCGGACGCCATCAGACTGTGCCAAAAGAGGGCACGGTGAAGAGTGGCATCACCTCACCTATTATACTGTTCATTGGAAAGCACCCTAATAATTACATAATTAAGAGTGTTACATGTACTACAATAGAGCAAGGAAGCAGCATGCAAATTAGCTAGCCTGGAAACAGGACACTAATTCCTCTGCAAAGATAAGGGGCAGTCGCTATCACTGCCAGCCAGAGCGCCCGCCCAGGGCAGGGCAGAGCCCGTCCTGCCACAGCAAATCTCCAGCAGACGGAAAGGGAGCTCCTGCAAACCAGGGCACTCAAGGAAGCAGGATGCAAATCTCCAGGCTATGTCAGAGAATGTCGATATGTGCGTATGTCTGGAGATATCAGGTGCCCCTGAGGAGAGCGACGTGCGAGCTCCACAGAGCTCCTATGTCCACACAACACAGGGAGTGACCTATGATTTGGGGCAGGACAGTCCTTCCCTTTCCTCTTCTGGAGCTGTCTCATCCGGAGACAATTCAGGCATCTTGGCTCGATGTTGCCTGGCACAGAAAATCCTATTGGGATTTCCTCCGACAGTACCTGAAGCCTCCAAGGAATCTGATTGTTCTGCATATTCTGGGTAAAAATCAGCCATGGACAAACTGTCCCACAGAACACAGTGGCACAAGGCAGCAAAGCTGAAGACGCACTTGTAAACTAGAGACCAGAGCCACGTTTGCACATGTGGCGGCACCATCGTAGCTGTCCTGGGCAGGCGGGTACAGGAGAAGAGCAGCTGGAGGGACCTGTGCAACAGACTTCCCACCAGTGTGGCACAGACACCGTGTCCCGTGGCCACCCTGCACACACACCTGGAATAATGGGGGTCACTGGAAGCTGGGATGAGCCAAAGCCAGAGGGCAGGACAGAACTACAATAGCTCCAGCCTCACAGTCACGTTAGAAGCTTAAATGAAGATCCTGCCTTGCCTGGAAGATACCCTCACTGAAAAGTGCTCTTCCCTGACCAGATCTTTAGGAACGACACAGGCTGAAAATAATATAACAAATTCAGAACCTCTAGAGCACCTTGAAGAGCTCATTAAAAACTTGTATGTCAGAAAAGGACTGAGTCATTATTTGATCAGATTTGTTTCTCAGCCTCTATTGCTGCCAGGACACTGTCACATGCGGCAGACCAGGATTTCTGATTATAGTGATTAAACAAAACAACAGCAAAAGTCACTAATCCTCTCAAAACACATGCAAATCCGATTCCGGGCCAGCCCCGTAGTCCCAGCCTGTTTAATTTATAACCTTTGTAAGGATCGGTTATCGGGAAGATGTGAGAATGAGAGCAAAAGGCCAATCTTTTAGCTTAAATTGCACTATTATCACTGAGCTCCCATTCAGAGGGCAAAGACTAATCTGCCATGGCAACTTCTGCACAACAACAGCTCGAGGCATGCCTGAACTGTGGACTTCTTTGGAGTCTTAGTAGTTTTAAAATGTATGGGAAGTACCAGGTCCCCTCACTACCTCACAGCAACATCCCCTCACTTAATAAACATTAACTTCAAACACCTTAAACTTTATAGGAACCACTTAGCCATTGAAAAATCTCCCCTCCTTCCTCATTTCACCTCCACAGTTATCATTTCCTTCCCCTGCCTTTCCCCATTTCTAATCCCTATTCTATTATTCTCTTTTCTCCATAGTCCTTTCATTCTTTTCCTCTGTCAGGATCACTGCTGGCATGTTCAAATGCTGACACTAAAAAGGGATATAAATGAAGAGCAGAGACAAAAATCTAGAAAGGAAACCAGCTCTTAGGGCTGTAGAACAGATCTGCATACATAGTTTCTCTCACTGGACTCCAAATCAGAAACAATTGAGCCATATATGTATAAAGTAACATAAATGGGAGCTTCTTTTTATTAGATGAGTGTAGTGGAAGTAATGCTTGAAAAAGCTTAACTTACTGAGATCTTTGTGAAAATATACAGCAGGAGAGAAAGGATCGACAGGTAAATCTGAATTCGTTTGCCACCAAAACGCTTCTTCAGATACTCTGGCATTGTCACCACCTGCAGAGAGAGAGAATAAAAGGATTCAGACAACGGGGGACAGACTGAAAGCACTAGTGAAGTTCTCTGCTGCTGCTCAGGTACCTCTCGACTGGAGGGCAACGTGACTGCAAGAGGGCAGCTCCAGGAGCACAAGGAGGAGCACCCAGCTCTCCTCAGCTCAGCCCTCGAACCAGAGCAGGGAGAAAGAAAGACAGGAATGAAAACCAGAACATAGTCTCTGTACTCACCCCAGCTTTGATGTAGATGGGTACAAACAGCCATCCTAGGACAACCACAAATATCAGAGCCTGGAGCCGAGAAAATCACAGTAGAATTAGCATCCTCTCTCCAGACCATAAACCATGAGGGCAGCAGGAGACCATTGAAACCACACAGGCCTGGCCACTGCAGGGCTACCCTGCCCACTCTGCCCTTCATTTTACAGGTGAAAATTCAGGGCTGGAATCCTGGTCACAACATTTCTCAGGATATTTCTCATTGGATATTGCAATCATAAGCAGAACACCCTCCATCCCCATGAATCAGGGGAAGGAGAAGGCAGTTTCGGAAGGTGGTTGGTGTGCAGGAAGTGCTAAATTTCTTACAGCTTGTCAAGAAATGAAAGCCTCTTCAATACTTTCTGTGCAGCAAATTGACATCAAAAATACCACAGGTCACAAAACTGAGGCACTCCTTCAGATATCTGGTAGTCTGAAAGTGCTCTTTACAAGCACCTGTAAAGTAATCAAAAGGCACATAGAGAGAAGAGAACCCACCAATTTCTTTGGCTTCCGCGTTCTCTAAAAAACCTTACTCAATAGAAAAGGGTCATCTTGCCCCAGTAACAAAGAACACGGAAGAAAATGAGCAAAATAACAGGCCATTGGCAATTACAGGTCTGGACAGCAGTTAGCATTGCCAAACACCCACATTGGCAGCCCTGAATTTTTAGACAGCATTATCTCAATTAACCTCTGCAGATCATCCTGAGGTCACAAAATGTTCACTCAAGAGCACGACACTTACGTTCCACTCAAACCCTCCGGTGGCAATTCCTCCAGCTGCTCCTGTTCCTGCTAGGCCCACAAAATGTCCACTGCCAATGTTGCTAGCAAACAGAGAAGCGCCGATCTGGAAGCAGAAAGGACAAAAAAGAAATAGGAGTGAGGTGTTTATTTGGTACTGGGGACTCATGACCATCCATCAGAAGATAATCAGATGATGGACAACCACAATCACCTAGATGGCTTTCCAGATTCCCTCTTAATTTCTCCTCTCAAATCCAAGATTGGCATCACTGAGGACTGAATAGGACCCTGCAGCGAAGATCACCTACTGGAGGCAAAGTTGTGGCACTGATGGGCACAAAGTTGTGGCACAAACAGGCTGTGGTCCCGATGCAGATTTTCAGATATTGGGAAAACCTGACTGACTGGTGTTTGGGTGGCATCTAGGTGATTAGAGGAGATGACCGACCCGCCTTGCTTGGGAGAAACCTTCCCTGCAAGCACATTTGTCATCCTGGCACTCCTCAGCTTGCGTTCAGCTCCCCCAGCCTGTAGGACTAAGTGGATCATCACTAAGCCATGTACACGCTCTGTCCTGGCTTCACTTCTAGGCAAGAAACATCAAAATAACTAAATTGAATTCTGCAAACTCAGAAGTGTGTTTCTAAACGATACAAACAACAGGTAACCAGGGACTTGCTTTTAAGGAACACTGCTATTTCCAAGACCCTCAAAATACAGATGGGCAGGAAAAAGTTCACAAAAGGGAAACTGTCCCTAAAATACCCTGATTGTTCATCAAATAACTCAGACCAAGGGAAAAGATGGGGAGAAATGAAAGCACTAAAGGCAGTAGGAATGCCAAGCCATAATGGACAAGGTCAGAAGCTGAGGTGTGCAAGGTGAAGACCTGAGCGAGGGAAAGGGGTTGGCTGGGGCAACACACAGGAGCTGCAGTGGGGCTGAGACGGGACCGAGCTGCTCTTCCTATCCCTATTATTCAGGGATGGGTATTCTGCCTTCATTAGGAGATATTTAGGGTGCTAAAATGGATACAGAGGGAATAGCTACAAAATTCCAGGTGTGGGAGTGCAGGGCCACTCGCCTGATATTCAGAGGATTCACTTCATCAGGAAATGCACCCCTGGACATCAGGGCTGTTCTGCAGAGCTCTCGCCGGCCACAAACAGCACCTACTGCTCAGCTCACAACCCCATCTCCAAAGCCACCACAGGGTCTTCTCCTTCCTTCTGTATGGAAACTATACTGCACAAAAGGAGCATGCAGCAAAGCATTCTGATTTCTTTCCCAAGTTTGCTTTTTCCTCCTTTCTTTTCTCTGATCTCCTGACTTTTTCCAGACTCCATACGGACAAACAATTCTCTTGCTGTGATGGGGAATTCCTCTCTCTGAGTTCACCGAAGTTTGGATTTCTTCATGCATTTCAAGAAGTCAGTTGTGCCCTACAGAAATGGAACCTGTTTGTCATAATACAGATGTTTCCACAGGAATGGTAGGTGTTGCAACCTCAGTGAAGAAGCCACAAAGATCACTGGTATTCACAGAAACTTTTGTTTCTGCCCTCTGTGAGACACCGGCCCTGTTTTTCCCTTCAGGACTGTGAAAAAACCAAGATCATGAATACTGGGCATCAGTAATGTCACCCAGGGTTTTCCCTGGAGATGAATAATTAAACTTAAATCAGAGTTACTAGGAATGCAATCATCAGAAAAGATTAACCACATTAATCTCTGATTTTATCTAATGTGCTCCCTCTCCTGCTTCAATAGCTTAAAATGTCCTGTAAGCAGATTCGAGTAATAAAACACGAGTGACGAACTTGGAGAACTGCAGCTACAGCAGGTGACCCTGGCTGGCCAGCGCAGCAGGGACACCCCATTGCTGCTCCCCAGCCTCACCCACAGCACTCCTCTATCTTAACATCAAAAAAAGCAGATCAAATCGAGGCAGAATCACTGATTTCTGGGGCTAGCGCAAGGAAACAGCAGTGGGAACACACGCACCTCTCCCCTGCCCTTTCTCAATTTTCCTTTCTGCACCAGGGCAGCCCAGGGCAGTGAAAGCATGAGCACAACACACAGCAGCAATGGATGCAATTTCAAATACATTTTCTCCCGTTACGTGTATATGGAAGGTAAGAACTCAGCTTCAGAGCTGGATATATATATATATATATATATATATATATATTTTCTATACTCTGAAACCTGCTGCGTAGCTGAAGCAGGAGAATTGTTTCCAACCGTACTCGTGCTATCGAAGGACAAGAGTTTCCCGCCTGCCGTGGAGGTTGAAGTGAGAAGGTGGATGAGTTGCGGGCCCAAAATGTCTTGCTGAGGAACCAGCCATGGCAGTAGCTCCATAAAGGAAAAGCTGCTTACTGGAACTGCCTGATTTGCTGCTGTAGGTGCTGCAGTGCTCCGCCACATGACCTGAAGAACGTGGCGTCTCCAGGGACCGCAGCTAAACATTAATGTGGTCCCCGTGTCCCAGCCGGCACGAGGGCCCCGGCGCTCCCAGCAGCAGCAGCAGCCCCTTCTCTCAGGCCGGGGCTTTTCCCTCTAGGCTGGGGCAAGGACAGAGGTGCCACCACCTGGGTACAGGCCCTGCAGCTTCCTGGGGACCCCAGCAAGGGCAGCCCCGGGGAGCTCTGCACGGCTGAGGGGACGGGAGGGATATGGGGATAACAGCAGGGAAACCCATCTTCAAGATCTGCTCTCTGCAACACATGGAAGGACTGCAGAAGCCAAGGGTTGGCTGAAGGCAGCAAAACCTGGCAGGAGGGCAAAAAGCCGAAGCGGCCCGAGGCCAACGTGGAACATTAACTCCTCTAAAGCCCTTTGGGAGGTCAGCTTTTAACAGGAGGTCCCTGTCCAGGAAAGTGCCACAGTGCTGGGGACAGATGACGAGCCCTGTGTTTTCTCCGTGTTACTCATTAATCGAGTCACCTTGCTGCTGCAGGGGCTGGGGATGCGCAGACATCCTGGCACTCGCTGTCCCTGCTCCTATACGATGCCCTCTGCAAACTGGCAGGTGCTGCGGCAGCCTTTGCAGGTGCTGCAGCCCCTTGCACGACTAGAGGATTTCCCGAGGCCCTGAGACCCCAAGAAAGCAGCTCGCCTGCTCCCCGTGCTGCTCCGCAAGGTCTGCATGTTGCATCCTCGCTCCATAAGACAATGTTCACACTCACAGTTCCCTGTTCACAAAGCAGAGGAGAGGGCTTGGTGGTGAACGCCAACATTTCCAGACTCCCTGGTAAAAAGCATTCTGTAGATACTTGCTTCACTCAAGTTTTCCTTTTCTGCTTCACTTTCCTTACTTAGATTGACTTTATCAGTCTTTGCACTCTGAAAACTACTCATTTTTTCTTTTCTTTTTTTTTTTTTTTTCCATTGAACATGATAAAGTAGGTTTATTTCTTAGTGCACTTCAGCCAAGGAAAGGAAACACAACTTTATTTCTACTGAGTTGCCTTTCTGGCTACTCTCAGTAGTGTCAAACCCAGCAAATAGGGACAATTCTGAGAACACATAAAATTGAGCTGGACGTGGACATCAGACCATTTGTGCCAGCAGCCAGTTCTCATAGCCTGAAAAACAGCTCCGAAGAACTGAAATTTTTAAAAAGTGGATTTTTTTTGCTTAATTTTTGTCCCTTCACAAAGATGAATGCATTGGTGACAACAAATGGCTGACATATTCCCATTTAAATTGAAATGGGCACATAACTCTGAGGTAAATACTGAGGAAATCCTTCTAGTTACAACTGAGCTTCAGGTGCCCGATACTTTTGTGCTCCAGGAGCAAAATTTTGCCTCGGGAGTAACTATCACAACCTTGTGCAGTGAGAGGTGATGTCTGCAAAGCTAGGGAACCTGCAGAACAAAATCCAAAAGCAGAGGAGCTTCAAAACTGAAGTTTTTAACATTGTGCATGACGCCTTGTTAATCCTGAGAGATTGGCTGCTACTGAGGGTGACTGTTTTCCTGTAAAATATATTTCATTTCATAAAAAAAGGGGAAAGAATTTGGCTGAACTCCTCCAGCTAACAAAACTATCTAACACAAGAAACTAAAAATCCCTTAACAAGGCTGGTTATAAACCCAGCAGTGCTCCTGATCTTCTGTTTTTCTGTTTCATTTTGTTGTCTGGCAAAAGCACAGCTGATTAGAAGCATTTAGAGCCACATTGGGCTTTCCTGAAGACACTCAAAGCCTAAGAGTCTGGGAGCAGTTTCTTGAAGCCTCTTTCCTCATTTTTTTTGTAAAAAGTCTGTGGAAATAACACACAATTTCTCTCTATTATGTACATTGATCTTTAATTAACTATTAGAGCTACCGAGTCAACTCCTCCATTGCACAACAGCAGAGACTCCAGTGCCAGAGCGTAGAAAATGTGCCAAATTCTCCCAAATACTCCCCAAACTCCCTGTAGCTGTTGCTGGACCCATAGCCTGTGCCAAAGCAGGACGGAGCCGAAACAGCGCCACCGATTGCTCCCACTGACACAGCGAGAAGCTGAAGCACAGGCAGGCAGTGACTGACCTGCAAACATCTTCACGTGCAAAACAAGCGTTAAAAGCAGGACTAACGTTCAGCCCTTGACGCCAGTCTCCTCCAGTGCACAAAACCAGAGCTGCTGGTCTTTCCAGCTGCAGAATCCCCTCCCGGGTTGCTCAGTAAGGGATCCTGGGCACGTTGCTAAGAAGCCTCTTCCCATCTGGGCTCAGCGAAGCCGCCTGCGGCTGCTTGGGGGAGCACAGACACGGCAGAGCCCTGAATGACCTCGTCAGCATAAGCCAATTCCATTTGTAACAAGCCTGTGGAGGCCTATTTCTTTTTCCCTATCTATCCATTCCAGAAAGCACAAGTCGTTACCCTGAGCACGGGAACAAGTCTGATACATAAGAAACACTTACAAATCAGCTGCCTCCACCCTGTTCTCACCTAGAGGCAGTGGAAATATATGGGTTATAGTCCTGCCTGGCCAAGTCGAAGCACAAAAGCAGTAAAAACACACACATATCATCAGCTGGGACCCAACTGAGATGACATCTTTGACTGAACTTTCCATACTTGCCTTGGCTTCCTCAACATTCCAGCCCAGTTTGCACTGGGATGGATAGACAAATGTCCCATCTACCTGCTAAGCACTGGAAAGCAATTTTGAAATTTCTTTTATCCCAGACAAACTCTGACTTGATATTTATTTTGTGATTTGAGTGTTTGCCATTTGTTTATCTCGGGTGATACCAGGAATAACAACAAGAAGGTTTTATTTTTATGGTCTAGAAAGACGTTCCTGGCATTCCAAAGGGGAGGACTGAAGAGGTGTCCTTAGCACAGCCCCAATGCCCAGTGCTGCATCCTGCTGAACTCCTGGGCCAGGAGGTGGAGATGACCCCAGAAGCAGGTGCTGCTCTGCAGCATGTCCCCAGTCTCTTGCTGCAGTTGTTTTCGTGTTGCTAGAGAACTGGGAGATAGGTAACATTCCCCAGGTTTCAGGGAATATTTAGGAACAGGAGGATTTTTATGGTGAGCCATCCCTGTTTGCCTCCATCTTCACGTACACCTGCACAGCGAGTAGCAGGTCATTTGCACTGCTGGTAGGTGTATAGCAGGTTCCTGAGGGGCAAGAAAGCTGGAAGAATTGTAGGCATTTCTGCAACCTACTTTGAGAAAAATAATATGGTTTTGGAGAACAAATATTTACTCAATTCTTTTTTTTTCTTTCTCCTGATCCGCTAACTGAGTCCATGGGGTGGAAATTTCCATCAGAAATCTTGCTGAAATACAAAAACATTTTGAGGAACTGATGGCAAGTCAGTAACATTCTGGATTTCCATCCAAGTGCACGAAAGAAAGGCTTTTCCTGTGCCATGCTGGTGACACAGAAAATGGGGATCTAAGTGTTCTGCTTTTCCAGGAAGTCGCCCCGAACAGGTGCTCTATTGTCTAGAAGAAACAGAGAGTGTTTCTAACATCAGCTCTGCCAGAGACCTGCAGGGTGGCTGTGACCACGTTGTTGGCTGCTGTAACTCAGTTCTCCAAAGAGTCTACAGCTCCATAGAAGGAAAAGTCAAGGCAAGTCACTGATAATCTTTAAATTTAATCATTTCCATTTAAATTGACATTTTTTCCCCATATCTTATCATAATCTTTCCAGGATTTCATCCTTGCACAGAGCAGAACTTCCTACCAAAAGTGAAAACAAAAGCAACACAAGGAGTAATTTCAGTAAATCCTTCCCTGGGATAATCTCACAACGAGGCAGCTGCTTTGGGTGCAGTGAACGTAATAAATTCACGACATTAAACAAGTTTGAATGGACCGAACTGCAGAGCAGTGGCTTTGTCTCCACCATCCCCATTGCACATAGGCTCAGACAAGCTGTTTTGTGTGCACACAGAACGGGAAACACTCACCGGCCACCACACCATGCTCCGTCCAGCCAAGAAGAACCCACCCACAGTCCCTCGGTTGGTTGAGTACATGGCCTGGAAAGGAAAAGAAATAAGGATAGAATCAGATTTTTAAGTCTAACAGGCAATTTGTACAAAGACTAAATTAAAAGCAGCTAGGATGGAGGAGTAAAATGTGTATGTCTGTGGGGTAAACTAGAAGACATCAGCACACTTGATATGAAGAACGAGCTGATGATGAAAGAAAGAATACCAATGAACAGTGATTCTATATCTATATGTTAACCATTCAAGCTTCATTGCTTCAGCTTTCATTACTGTAAAACCAAAACATTAAAATAAAATTAAATGAAACATAAAAATTGATCATCCAACCAAGAGCTCAGTGAGTAAGTTCAAACTCAGGTAAACACTTTGTCAGGTAAGCAAATCCTCTGATTTCAGGCTCACTAAAATCTGATTTGTAAGATGTAAGTTAATGCAAGAGGAAAAGGAATATATGCAGCTGCTATATTCAGTATTATCCAGCCTCAATAGATCTCTACAAAATAATCCATTTTCTTCTTGTAGTATCAAGATCTGATCCCCTCTGGAGGTCAAACAAGGCTGACAACAAAAATTTCCTTTTCACACTCATTTTGTATTTATAGGGGAAGGGCTTTAGGGAGAAGCTTCCTCCATATTTTGTTAATGACCATTCATAATCCAAATCCAAAACACTGATAATCCAATAATCCAAATATTGTATTCCCATTGTTTCCTCCGATAGGTTTTGGATAGGCAAATAAAGGGAGAAGACTAGAGAAAAATAGCCATACTTTCTATTCAGACATAGAAAGAAAACAATACATTTATATTTCACAGCACACGACTGAACAAGTTCTTCTCCCATAAAAGAGAACTTTGTAGGAGAGAAGCAGCTCCAGGAATTGCCAGAGCACCTGGTGTGACCCAGAACTTAACACGATGCTCCAACACAAACCATTCTCCCATTCCCACAGCACTGCTCCCCATGATGGCAAAAAGCCCCCATTGTCCTGCACCCCAATGGCACCCACAGTCTCAACCCGTTTACTCTTGCACTGAGATGGGCTGCAGTGCCCAGCTCTCAAAGCAGTTGCTGCCCCAGCCTTACACCTACACCCGGGTCATCAGCACAGACTGCTCCCCACTCCTCAGCCCCTCTTCCATTCTCCCCACTGCTCCCTGTTCCCTACTGCATCCCTTTCACCATCCGTTCCCACTGCAGTTCTCCATTGCCAGACCCCACCTGTTTGCTTCTATCCTGTTTCCCTCCAGGGCTCCGGAGGATCTGGTCTTCATTGACCACCTCACCTTTCCTACAGAGACCCCAATTGCTCCTCTGCCTTCCTGACTGGCTCCACTGGCCACCTGAATGACCATCCTCCCTGTCCACCCTCCTTTCTCCCATAAATGCCCCCATTTTTCCCCACCAGCTACCTGATAACTATCTTAATTAAGCACTAAGATCTTTATATAATTGCACAGTTTGATTTACTGAACCATCTTCCCAGAACCCTATACACTATATGCTCGTTAAGCAGCAGTAAAAATAAAATAAAAGAAAATCCAAACCTACCCATAGTCCCACCGCCAGCACTACCAAAAAATAGATGACAATAACAGAGATGTCTGCAGGATTGTTGAGCTTTTGGGAAGAGTCCATCTTGACGGCTTCTCTGGCTTTCTTCTTTTCCTCCTTATATGCCTCTTGCAGAGTTCAGGTTAATGATAAACTGCTGTCATCCCCCTACGTCTTATATAATATATAACTTCAGATTCACTTGTCTCCCATGGGACACAAGTCAAAACTCCTGCTCTTCCTTGGCCAGTGATTCCTTCCCAGATCTTGCTCCTCTGTTACAGGTGCCGCAGATTTCGGAGGTCACCCTCCCTTGCCAAAGGTGCTCGAGGTTTTAACATCTAAGAGCAGATGTCTGAGAAGGAATGAGCTTGGAGAGGAGTGGCTTGGCTGCAATAAACCCGCATGTCTGCCTCACTATGTGCGAATACAGATTTTTTTTTTTTTTTTTGAAGTTGTTGTACCTGTAAATCTAGTCATGTAAGATCTAATTCTTTTGGATGATGATGTTAAGCAATTACTAGTGAGGAGGAGTGACCTGATGGTTGGGGAAAACCCAGGGGTCCAGAAGCTGGGACAGTCTGTGTCATCTCCGCTCTGCAGGATTGCACAACGGAGAAATAGCCCTATATTTTCCGGGAAGATGACAACTCAAAGTTGCTTTGATCTCTCTCATGGATACAGGTGAAGAAGCATGTGAAGCCCAGAATTCAGATCTAGGAGGTCACTGTGCTGAATTTCAAGATGTTTAGAGGCTGTGCTGTTGGTTCTCTCCCCTGTGGCTAATCAGCTTCATATTCAAATAAGTTCAAAGTTCAGCAGTGCTTGGGTCTGTTCGCGTCTCCCTGTATTTGTTCCTCCAACTTTAAAATCAAGCTAAGCAAAATGAATGGCCAAAAGGATGGGGAAAACACTGATCACGCACAGACCTTCCCAACCTGTAATAGAGAAGGCATCCCCAAGAGATGCCTGTTGTTCTCTCCGTTTGACTGAGCTAGAAGATTGAGAAAACACCAGATTTTTAGAAAAAGACAGGCACAAGTGTCAGGAACGTTTCTGGGATATTGAGGACATCAGAAAGTCCTATTCTCCGCGTGCTACCAGGAACTTGTCATTCATTTACAGGTGATTAGGCTCTAGGCTGCCTTCTGCGTGTAATGTGTTACCCTGGAATTACAGCGAGTGGGACAAGCAGTTCGGTACACAGAAAGCACAATGGGCTTGATTGATCCTGGGGCTGGCAGACACAACTCTCAGTATTTCCTCCAAGCCGAAACTGAGGTGTGGTGTCCTGTCCGTGGGCAACCGAGCCTCCCCAGGCAAAAAAGACTCTTCTGTAATTGCAATTAATGAAGAGTGTCAGTATCTAAGAAACAACAGTAAAGTGTCCTAATAAAAAAAATTGTGGCTATAGTTCTAATGCTTATACTCTTACAAAATAACCTTTTCCCCTAATTGTTTAGGTCTCTTTCCTAAAACACAGCCTTTGATTTGTCCTGTAGACCTGTGCGAATTCTAAATCCATCAGTAAAATAATTAAAAAAGATGCTCAACATTTAAAATTGCAAAATCTTCTCTGCCTCCCTGAGCATCTTTGGCAGGGGAGAGCGATCTCCAAAATCTGTGGCACCTGTAACAGTGAAGCAATATTTGGGAAGGAATCATTCTCATGGAAAAGAAAAATTTACTAACCTTAATTATCAGGAAAGAGTTTGCCCAAGATAGGCTGTATCTGGTACAAAGACTGACATGGCCTCCTATGTGTCCTTGCAAATAACAATGTTTGCTTTTCATGAATTTCATTTTGGTTCCAGTCTGCAGAAGTAAGCCAAGGAAAACACTCAAAAGGAGCATATCCTACCATATCTACTGTAAGTTATCTGTGTTCTCACCTGGACCTCTGCAAAAATGCTTACAGAGGCAAAGAAATACTGCAGTCTTCTGTCTACAGCCTTTGCAGTACTCATAGCTAAAAGACTTCAAAGCAAGAACCACTATGAATCAGGGTCAAAAAAAAAAAAAAATGCAATTTCCATCTTTATGCACAATGCAAACATTGACTTAATTCTGTTTTCTTTCTAAAAGCCACAAATCTAAATCAAACATTCTTTATGGAGCAACAAAAGGGTTGGCCGCTTTGTTGAAGCTGTTTATGCCTCTCCACATCCTCATATCTACAGTCCAAAGAGAATCCTGGAAGGGTTTGTAACACTCAGCAGATTGTTGGTGTAACTACATGAATCACTTCACGGACTGAAAGCATATACATGGTCTTCTCTGAAAGGTCAGCCAAGTATTCAGATTCAAAAAAGGCCAAACCTACCTTTGTATTGTGTTAAAGCCAAGATAAGCCACATGACACGAGGAAGCCACCTGACAAAGGATGAACTTCACATCAGGAGCAAGAATAACCTCCCTTTCTCACACTCTGCTGCAACGTGCTCCAGTGCGTTTTCATCGTCGTGAAGCATCCGGTCCAGTGTAGGGCTCTATTGTTGCAAAATACAAATGACAAAATGACAAATAATTTGGTATATCATGGAAATTTCTATGTTCTTCCCTGCGAACCAAACCGGTCCATTGAATTAAGAGAGATTAACTGGAGTGAGACCAGTCAGTCAAAGCAGCAGGAGGCAGAGATAGTGTGACCCAAGTCTTCATTGACTGCTTCCCCCTAGATCAAGCCTGATGAAGTTAAGCATGTCATGAAAACTAAGGCAAACCACATCTCTGTACTAGCGCTGATCAGATTTAATCCTCATGTACTTTGAGTACAAGGACTTATGGAAAACAGCATTATCAGCTGTGCAACTTCCAAAAAAAAAAATAGCAGCTGCCACAAACTAAGCTGCAGAACTAGGTGATGCTGATGCCACCATGCGCTTTTGAGTGACATAGTAGCAGCATTCGTGGTGCTCCCAGGAACATGACGAATAAGTCACAGAATCACAGAACGGTTGAAGTTGGAAGGGACCTCTAGAGATCATCCAGTCCAACCTCCTGCTCCAGCAGGGACACCCGGAGCATGGGGCAAAGGGCGGCATCGAGGCGGGTTTGGAAGATCTCCAGAGAAGGAGACTCTACAACCTCCCTGGGCAGCCTGTGCCAGGGCTCTGACACCCTCACTGTAAAGAAGTTCTTCCTCACATGCAGATGGAACTGCCTGGGTTTCAATTGATACCCCTTGTCCTGTCACCAACCACCACTGAGAAGAGTTTGGCCCCATCTTCTTTACATTCTCCCCTGAGGTACATATTGATAAGATCCTCTCTCAATCTTCTCAAGACTAACCAGGCCCAGCTCATTTAATCTTTCCTTCCTTTGCAGATCACTGATGATTTAATTTACAAAGGTGCACACACACAGCTATCAAGATCAGACCTCTCATCGACTGCCCTACACATATGATACCAGGGAGCTCTGGCTCCAGAAAGTTCACAACCTAATGGAAGAAACAGTCAAGGGATGTGAGCACCAGGTACAGAGCAGGGCAGTAAGTTACCCCAAACCACACAGCAGATCGCTGGCACAGCGTGCACACACAATGAAGTGATGAATTTGCAAATGCAAGGACATAACTACAAGGGTTGCCAGAGGCACCACCATTTATGGGGCCAGAGGGCAGGGACATGAACTATGAAGGACCTGCAGCTCCCCTGCTGCTGTTACTATAAGATGGAGTTTTAAATCTGAGCATTACACCCAAACCTCACTGACACCTTGTCTAGTCTCTTCGAAGCCTGTGCGGAAGAAGCTTCCTTCTTCTCTACCCATTTAATGTTTAGGAGTTGTAACATTCCTGAAAAAAACAAAGCAACCTAATGCTGTCTCCATCCAAATAACTGTATCACATCTGAAAACAACCGTCTTTCATAAATATTTTTTCTGCTCTGTGCTATATTGCAACAAATGTTATGCTCACGTGTTGCAGAGGAAGAACTGTAAATGCTGAGGTTTGGAACAGCTGACCAGTCTCTGATCATCATGTCAGCCTCACCTAAGTCCTACTCCTAAAGAGGGGAAATGATAAATCAGGCAAACAGAGAAAAGGAAGAATTATTATGCAAATTACCCAGAAGAGGAACTCCTTTCTCTCCCTGATATTCCTGCAAGCAGACTAATTTTTAGAACACTCATCAAAAGTGCTGGTTTATATACAGTAACCTAGTTATTGTACAGTACATTTTTTTTTAAAAGTATATAAATATATATAAAAAAAGCAATTATTTTACTTGTGGGAAGCTATATGCTGGATTGTAGAAGTCTCTTCTCCTTTGCTGGTTTCTTGGCCAGGTACTCTTGAACACAGTGCATCACAGTGACCACATCTGCAAGGGAACGAGGCAGAAATTCAAAGACTTGCTCAAGTTTTCCCTAAGGTGACCTAATAACACCACAACAGTTAAAGTAGGCAAATGGAGGAATTTTTTTAACATATTACTTGATGTCACAAACCTCCTCTTTGTGCAATCTTGCTTAAAGTGTGCTTAAAGTGTGCAAAAATTCCAGGAGGTATAATAGAAAGAGAAAAAAAAAGTCAGTTGGAAAGCAGCTCCCTTCACAAGAGGTTATCAGTAAAAAGGCAAGGTCATTCTATTCCTACTCACTTCAAGGATCATATCAAGAAAAAATATTTAGCAATAGACAAATAAAAAAAGAAAATGAATCCCACACTACTAGGCTAATTTTTTAATGTGGATCTCTACTGAAAAGAAATATTAAAGAATATAAAAATCAAGTAGTTTATGTGCAGATAGCCCAATAAAATTGAAGCAGAGAGACATTTTCAGCTCTCCAGGAAGTGATTTAATTATCTCCATATGAAGACTAAGTAGGCCCAGCCCTGCTGTACCTGAGCACTGCCAAAGTTATAAAAATAACAGTCCAAGGACTGTGTTACTTCTGTAACATGGGCTAAGAGAGCAAATAAGGTAACTTTATTGCATTTTTGCTATATGAGTGCTTTATTCCTTCTTATAATTCAGGAGACTAATGAGAGAAGATTAATGGGAAGAGATAGGTTCAAATTTCCATCAGGATTAATTAAATGGAATAAAATCCTCAATGGATTAAAAAAATCTTCTCAAACCAAGCCAAATTGTCACCAGATTTAGCCA